AATGACAGTTGAAGATTTTTCCACTTTTCCAAGTCCAGTTTTATTTGTTTTAACAATCTTTCATAGTTGTCTTCTTTTAATGTTGCACATCTTGTTGTTAGGTAGATTCCTAAGTTTTTAACTATTTGCAGATTTGTCTTTTTTGTAAGTTGACTTTTCTGTTTATCTGTTAAGTTCTTTGCTAATACTTTAGTCTTTTCTTTATTTATTTTCAGACCCGTCACTTCTCCAAACTTTTCTGTTCTCTCCAAATCATCCGCAAAGGCTTGTAGTTTATATTTTTGATCTTTTATCTCCAATCCTTTAATTTCTATATCTTGTCTAATCTTTCTAGTCAGTACTTCCAATGTTAGTATAAATAACAATGGGGATAATGAACATCCCTGTCTTGTATCTTTTTTGATATCAAAATTTTACATGTAGTCTCCATTTTAAATTATTCTAGCTGTTTGTTTATGATAGATTGTTTGAATTGCATTTATAAAGTTTTTCCCAAAGTCCATTTCCACCAACTGCTGGAACATAAATTGCCAGTTCAAATTATCAAACGGTTTTTGCGCATCAAGAAATATTAATGCCATCTTTTTCCCTGGATGGTTTTCATAATACTCTAAAACATCCAAAATCATTCTTAAGTTATTATCTGTCTTTTAGGTAGGAAGCCATTTTGGTCTGTGTGTATAAATTCAGCCAAGAATTTCTTAATTATTTCTGCCATTATTGAGGCAAAGATTTTATAATCCATATTTAATAGCGATATTGGTCTATAGTTTTTGATTTGTGTAAGGTCAGTGTCTTCTTTAGGTATTAAAGTAATATTAACTTCAGTTCACAACTTTGGTATTTTAGTCTCCAACAAGATTTCATTACACAGTTCTTTTAATGTCGGACTTAATACATCTTGTAATGCTATATGAAATTCTGCGGGAAGTCCATCTGGACCGGAGTCCTATCTTTTTTTTTGCCTTTTTATGGCTTCTATAATCTCCATCATTGATATTTTTCCATTTAGTACATTTTGAATATTCTCTGGGATTTTTGGAAAGTCTGCTTTTTTTAAGTACGACTGTATTTTTTCTTTAGGAACTTCCTCTGCCTTATAAAGTGTCTCATAGTAGTCTTTAATGATTTTTTTCATTGTATCATTTTGGAACTGTAATTCTCCCTTTGAATCTAGTAGCTTATTTATCATTCTTTTTTCCTTTTCTTTCTTCAATCTATATGCTAACCATCTCCCCGGCTTATTAGCGTTTTCGAAGAAATTCTGTTTAGTCCATTTAATCTGTTGAGCCATTATTTCCGTCTCCATTTGTTCCTTAAGGACTTTCTTTTGTGGGTCTTTTTGTAGCTCTAGTTCCAATTTTTTAAGTCCTTCTCTCAGCTTTAACTGTAATTGTTTCTTTTCTTTGTTCTTTTTAGAAGCATAAGTTATAGCCAGCCCTCTGAAGTATGCTTTGGCCGTGTCCCATACATTTTGAAGGGATGTTTTTTCTTTCTTGTTTATTTTTTTTAAAAAAAATCCATTTCCTTTGTTGCTAGTTGTAAGAATTATTTTTCTTTCAATATAGATTTATTCAGAGACCATATTAGTTTTTTCTTGGTTCCTTTCCAGATCATTTTTATTGGGTTGTGGTCTGCCCAAACATTAGTTTCTATCTCCACCTCTTGTATTATCATTTTCAAGTCGAAAGATGTCCATATCATGTCAATTCTAACCATGATTTATGTCTATTTGAATAAAATGTACCGGTATATTGTAGTTTTTCTGGGCTTCTAGCTCTCTTCATATGTCTTGAATACACAATTCTTCTTTCATTTTTAAAAATGCTTTAGGTAGTACATTTCCTCCTTTTCTCCCTTGTTTATGGCTTTTATAATCCATAGTCGCATCTGCTATTGCATTAAAGTCTCCCATTATACAAAGATTTTGGTAATTTAAGTCCAATATTTTCTTGTGTAGTTGTTGATAAAATTGCTCTTGCTTATCATTAGGTGCATATATTGCTACCATCAATATCTGTTTTTGATACACCACAGGAGGCACGTTCCATTTCTGTGATCACTAACGCATCTTCCAATTCTCCATTTATTTGGGTCAATTTTTCATTTTCATCTTTTAAAGCTTCTAATTTCTGGTCAACTTCAACTGACTTATCTTCCATTTTTTGAATTCTTTGCTGATTGTCTGTTAAATCTGGTTAAACTTTTCAATTTGGGAATCTATAATAGTAATTTTTTGCTTCATTTTGTCAAGATCATTTTTCAAGTCTTTATGATTTTTCGTTGGCCCTGCACCTGGGTGCCCCACCCCCTGCTTGTAAAATTGCTTCAGTTTCCTTTTGGTGAGCATCCATCTTTTCCTGCTGCAGCATTGTCGCAATTGATTTCTGATATACTGGACTTGCAGAAGTCGAGGCAGGGGCAGAAGATCCTTTTCCCCCCAAGTTTAGATAGATTTGAAGCGCTCATCTTTGTCTTTACTTCTTGAATTGTAATCCACCAGATAGCCAAATGGCCAGATCATGTGGTCACCATTTGTGACCTGCTGGCTTCCCTACTGACTTTGTTGGAAGCTGGCAAGTCGTAAATAGTGATCCCGTGATCATAGATTCTGTAACGTAATTGCAAACCGGATGATCTCAGTGAGGACCAGTTGTAGGTATCACTTGTTCAGTGCCATGATAAGTTCTAAAGTTTGCTGAATGAGTTGTTGTTAAGTGAGAACTATCTCTATTTTCTCCCTGTCTTCTATTTTCCATTTTTAAAATACTAACTTTTTGCCCAACTAAAATCTCTGCATTCATATGAGCCAGCAGTGTGCTGCAGCTGCCAAAAAAGCCAACACAGTGCTGGGCTGCATTAACAGAGAGATAGAATCAAGATCACGTGAAGTATTAATACCACTTTACAATGTCTTGGTAAGGCCACACTTGGAATATTGTATCCAGTTTTGGTCACCACGATGTAAAAAAGATGCTGAGACTCTAGAAAGAGTATAGAGAAGAGCAACAAAGATGATTAGGGGACTGAAGGATAAAACATATAAGGAACGGTTGCTAGAATTGGGTATGTCTAGTTTAACAAAGAGAAGGATGAGGGGGGACATGATAGCAGTGTTCCAATATCTCAGGGGCTGCCACAAAGAAGAGGGAGTCAAGCTATTCTCCAAAGCACCTGAAGGCAGGACAAGAAGCAACGGATGGAAACTAATCAAGGAGAGAAGCAACCTAGAACTAAAGAGAAACTTCCTGACAGTTAGAACAATTAACCAGTGGAACAACCTCCCTCCAGAAGCGGTGAATGCTCCAACACTGGAAGTTTTTAAGAAGAGACTGGACAGCCATTTGTCCGAAATGGTGTAGGGTTTCCTGCCTGAGCAGGGGGTTGGACTCGATAACCTCCAAGGTCCCTTCCAACTTTATTATTATTGTTATTGTTATTATATCCTTAACATATCTGTTCTAGTTGTTAAAGCATCAGGCTAGAAACCAGGAAAGTAGTCTTGCCTTAGGCATGGAAGCCAGTTAGGTGACTTTTGCCAGTCCCTCTTTTTCATGCCAACTTAGCTCACCGGGTTGTTGTGGAGAAAATGAAACGAGTATTAAGTACCATGTTTCCCCGAAAATAAGACCTGGTCTTATATATTTTTTTTGCTTCCAAAAGAGGCACTAGGTCTTATTTTTTGGGGGGGTGTCTTACCTTAGGACCACTGCAGCCAGGCCTTTTTTTCCTTGCATTTAGTATTTTTATAAATATTTATAAATAAGTCAGCAAATCAAGCCCTCGCTTGATTTTGGAGGTGGGTGGGCCTAATATAAGCCCTACCCCCAAAATAAGCCCTAGTTTTGGGGCAAGGCACACACCTAAAAATCAAACTAGAACAGAGGTGGAAGGGTGGAGCTGCCCCATGTGCCCGCACCCACTTACCTTACCGGTAGGAAACCCAGTATGTTTGATGACTTATTTATAAAAATACTAAAGGCAAGGAAAAAAGGTAAGAGTTTAAAAGCATTCAATTTTTATTGGATTGCTTATTGCTTAGACTTGCTCTACTATCATTCTTCCCCTGTATCAGTCATCATGAAATAAAATGCTTTCAGACTCATCTCACAGACAGCAGTTGCCTTCACAAAATCTTGAACTTCAACCCAAGAATTAGTACCATCTGAAGGTATAATTTGCAGTCCAGATGTCCATGAAGACAGAGCCCCTTACTTATACAACCCAAGGGTACTAAAAGAATTAAGGCTCTTAGATGTGAATTTAGTGTTCACCTAAGTAACAGGTTTATTAAATAGTACTGCCTACATATGAGAGAGTTGTTTCCTACATGTTTGGTGATGCCGTATGCCCTCATTTCATGGCTGAAAAGACAAGTGTGTACTGCACTTGGATTCAGCCTCTTTTTCTGTGTTCTTTCTGTGCCATTGGATATCTGCCTTTTGATTTCATGGAGCTTATCTTGAATTCTGATCCTATTGAACACTCACCTTGTTTAACCTCTGCTTAATTTCTGATCTGTTGCCTGGTGTTAATTAGAATAGTTCATACCCATAATATCCCTGAAGTGGGATATTAATAGATATGGGACTTCTACCAGTTTAGAGCAAAACGTTATTCTGATTTAAACTCTTCATTGAGATTATATTCCCTTGACAAAAAGTGAGATGTAGTCTTATTCACTGAAAGCATACCATATATTTTCATGTTATAAAATTTTCATGTTACAAAGTTCTAGGAAGAGACTGTGTTAATTCAAGGCTTTTTCTAATTGTTTTTGATATTTATATTTGATATATATTTGATATTTATAACTGATATTTTTTCAGTTCAGCTGCAATGAATAGAGGTACTTGTCTTTTACAGAGGACTGTAATCTGCCTATCTGAAATGCTTTATTCTTAGTTTATATTTTATTATATCATAATCTGTAATAATATGATAGCAAACAGCATAATCTGATACCTGCAGATTAACACTTAATTTCTTGAATTTTATAGATCCACTAGATGGCGCAGTGGCTCTTCTGCCACCTGAATCCCAGCAACATTTAGTCCAGCTACTTTACTTTGTGCCTCATTTACCAAGCAATCTTCTTGCTTCTCTCAGCCGCTGTTGCATTATGGGAAAGTTGTCTGTAAAGTTAACCACTACTCTTATTAGGATACTGCGTATAAGGTAACTAGCCGTTTCTGTTTTGTTTTTCCTGAGTGAACTTCACTAACATATGAATAAAATCTTGTATATTTTAAGAATATTATTAGGGTTCATCACACAGTCACCAAATGTTCAGACTGGATTTGGCATGTTTTTCCATCTATCAAGTCCTTCTGGGATAGGCAGATGTTGATGTTTTATGATGTTAGAGGTATTGTCATATGGTTTGTTGCACAGTCAGCCAGATGTTCAGATTGGATTTGGCATTTTTGTCTGTCTATTGAATCCTTCTCAAGGACCTGAGATAGGCAGGTGTGGATGTTTAATGGTATTACAGATATTGTCACCAGATGTAAACTGTTCCAAGTAAAACTGATTTTTGCAGTCTATTGATGGTGAATTTGTCAATGGCTATGGTCTGCAAATGGTGCTCTAGTTGTTTTGGGATTGCATTCAAGATACCTATGACTATCAGTACTACCTTTATTGTAATTTGCCACAGTTGTTCTATTAATATTTGCATTGTACTTTGTTATCTTCTCCAGTTCTTCTATTCTGTTCTCTCCAGGTACTGCCACGTCCACTATCCAGACTTTTTTTGTTTTTCTTATCGACAATAGTTAAGTCTGGCATGTTATGTGGCAAGTGCCTCTCTTAAGTCTAAAGTCCCACAGAACTTTAGCTTCTTCATTTTCTATGACTTTCCAGGATCTGGAATGGTCCCTTCCAGTGAGGAGCCAGGCAATTCTTATGCTGAAATACTTTTCTCAGAACCCAATCACCAACTTTCAATCTGGCAGAGTTGTAATGGTTTCTTGGGCATAGCTGCTGCAATCTGTGAATGACAGTCTTTAAGAGATGTGAGAAGAGCTTGGCAAGAGGTGAACATAACAGTAGCCAACATATGAATGTCTTTCAGATACAGTCTTGTTGAGAAAGAGTCATTCTTATGGACATTAGGGCAACCTGAACAGCTGCAACAGAGGTCTTAAGGCCAATCAGTGATTTTTCCAGTTTTTCCTTGGTACGTTTAAAGGATTGCAAATGCTGTTTCCTGCACTGCTTTTCCATTTCTGCATATCAAACCATAAAAGCAGACCAATTGCCCGGCTTGAGGGAGACATCAACATCATAAACATTCGCAAAAATTAAATTTGTCTCTGTCAAAAATTCCAGCAAGTGGAAACTGACACCTAGGTTCTTGTGCGATTAGCGCATGCCATTGCTGCAAGTATTGACAGAATATAAGTCCCTTATGAACATATATATACTATGCCAGGGTATCCTTTTAGGAATCTCCCTCCTCTTAGGCTGAGAACATCCCATTATAGAACAAAGAGATCACAAATTAAATCAAAAGAACAGAAAAAAAGCTAAGCAAAGGTTATAAAAACGTGAGTAGACGTGGGACACTAACTTGTCCAATTCAGGCTAAAATGCTTGTGATTACACTTTGTTGTCTCTCAACTGTTCATCCATCCATCAATTTCAAGACATTCTGCCTTTAATCATGGGTGAGGGCATGGTTGAGGGCCTATAATGTTCTAATGTAGTTGGTTCATTTATTTGCTTTCTTCTCCCATTTTTTCTTTTTTACTTTCACCTGGGCAACTGAGAGACAATGGTCATAGGGCAATAGAGGGAGGCTGAGCCCTGCCAACACAGACTGTCCTTATCTATGCAAGAGGACCCGTCCCTCAGTAGCAGTGATCATGAAATGCACCACCCTAGCAAATAAGCTGATCCTTATCTACGGGGAAGGCAGCACCAATATTAGTTATGAACAAACAACACTGTCCCAGCAAAGAAGCTGGCCCTTATCTACGAGAAAGGCATTGCTCACCATTAATTAAAGGGAGGAAACAACTACAGAAACAAAGAATGCATAGAAGAATGTGCGTGTACAATAAAGAAAAAGAAAAAAAAATTAAGCAACAATGGATGTTGCTACGCCCAAAGACATAGAAAAATCAGGAAGCAAACAAAGCAGGAAAAAATCAATTCAAGATAAGGAAAGTAACCACAAACCATCAGAACACAATTTTAAAGAGCAGTTTCCAAAAATACCCACAGCAATGCACCAAATCCAAAACTCTTATTCAAGTGTCCACAACAACACCATCGTTATTTCTAATATTGAATAAAATAGCACTCACCGAATTTAACAAACAATTAAAGCACTATCTTTTTTATACACACAAGGAAACTCCAATGCACAATATCAGCTAGGGGTGAAAATAAAAGGAACATATCTCCCCTTCACGCAGCTTAAATAAAAGCCCAAAGTTCAAACATCAAAATGGCAATCAGAGCTCGATCTGCAAATCATCAGCAGCCGGAAAAAGCTTGAGAAATGACATAACCTTACTTCCTACCGAGCGTCGTTGACAAGGGAACACAAAACCCTTGTAAATGAGGCTTCAAGAGATAACACTTGAGGGTACGACCCTCATCTCGAGGTGCTATCTTGAATCACTACAAAGGGGTTAATCAATCCCCAGGATTTTATTAATTTTCTGTTACATACATATATTAATTTTTCAACCTGTCTGGGTTTAAAAACGCTAATACATATTCAGTTCCTAATCCTTCATTCTTTCCTCTAGCCATTGATAAAATAAATCCCAAGTTTGGTAATATTCTGTTTCTTCTTTATCTTTCAGTCTCATAGTTAAGCGAACAAGTTAAAGAAATAATGATAAGATGGGCGAAAAACTTTGGTTATAATATAGAACTGAAAAGTGGCAAGAGTTATGGGAAAGAAATTATAAATTGACAATGTCAACATCGTATAAAGAAAATTTATATAAAATATTTTATAGATGGCACTTGCCACCAGCAAGATTAGCAAAAATGTTTAAAAATATGTCAGATAGATGCTGGAAATGTAAGTATAACTCAGGTACTTATTATCATGTTTGGTGTACGTGGTAAAGCTAAGGTTCACTGGAAAAAGATACATGCTTGGTTAGAAAAAATGTTGGGAGAACATGTTGATTTTAAACCTGAACTTTTCGTACTAGGTATAATGCCAGAAAAGATTAACAAACAAAGCCTATATTTGATTTTACACATCAAAACAGCAGAGGAAGAATTAATCAGAAAAATATTGGAATGCGCAGATAAGTTTCATTCTTTTAATTAACTGCTTCCCATCATCTCCTTAGAGCTAGCTTCATTTCTATCATACTGGTTTGCTAATGGCTAATAAAGTTAACATTAGAGAACACAATGCTTCTGGTGTTTTGCTTCATTGGGCTTCTCAGCTGGAACTTAACACTAAGCTAGCTCTCTAAATAATTCCAACTCCCTTAAAGGGGTCCTGAGCCCCTACACCCTCTGGTAGCTTCCAGAGAGGTGGTGAAGACTGAGGAGAAGATGCCTGAAATGGAGAAGCCGGCTGGAGCTGGGTCGGGAAGGACCAATGGGACTCCAGCTGGGGCCGGAAGCAACTTCATAAAGCCACAGGCCTCAACATGACCCAAGGAGGGAGTTGAATGCAGGGACCTGTCCCGGAGTGGATGGGTGGAGCAGTGGTGTTCAACCCACCCAAATTGGAGAAGTGGCAAGAGGAGCTACAGAAAGCTGCTGAAGCCGAATTCTCATTGTACTGCCCTCAGCCCAAACGGGGCAGAGAGCTGAAATGGTGGGAGCGAGGAGCCTCGGAGTGGACAGCATCCAGGAAGCACTACTTGCCAAGGTGCAGCAGCCAGTTGGTGGAGCAACTGAGGCAGAAGTTTAGCAGCCTGGGGGGGGGGGGTCCATGGAGAAGAGCTGGTCCCATGGCTGGATCCTAGACCCTGAAGGGGCTCGGCTTGGATCTGCTCCTGGCATCAGCATCAGTCCCTTCGCCCCAGCACACAATAGGAGTAGCAGCCGTGGGGGCTGGGAGAGCTGTTAGCCCACATCCAGGGCTACTGTTCTGATTCCTCACCAGCCAATGGACCCGGCAGCTGAGTCAGAGGAATAGAGGAGGAAGAGGGGCCTGGAGTGACATCAGAGTCAGAAGAAGGCTCTGAGGCGCTCCAAGTCTGACAGTCTGACAAGGAGCCTGGCCCCTCTACTCGCACTCAGGCTAAGACACAGCTGTGCTGGGAGTCTGAGTTGGACAGTGATGACTCACACCTGGAAGATATCCAGATATCCAGGTGCCGGCAAGAAAAGAGAGTCGAACAGAGGAATGCAATGGGGCAGCTCCAAAGGCAAAGGAGAAGGCATTAGGAAGCCATGCCTTGACTGCATAATAAAAGGGAAGGTGTGGGAGATGCTGGTTGCCAAAGGCAACTGTTTGTGTTAAGGAATCAAGTTTCTGTGAACTGTGTTTTGTTTGCCTTGGACATTGACTCAAGTCTGAATAATAAAACGGGATTGGTTTTTTCCTGTGGTTCCAGCCTGCTTGTTCGAAGAGGGGTTTCTCCTTAACAAGGACTCACGTAGGCTGGGACAGAATAGCTACCTCCCCAGCCCAGTCCCAGTCTGGGACAGAGAGCCTGCAGTCCACCACCGGCGCTGCTCCTGAACCTGGGGGGGCAGGCTGGTGACCACTGCCGGCCCCCAGGTTTGAGGCTCACCCATGGAGGTACCCATATAATGGGGCCGGGATACCTGGATTTTGGCCAGCACCAAGGCCACCTCTGCTGCCACCACTGAAGGCAACATTCGATGGGAACCCTGAGAAACTAGCGTTCTTCCTCATTCAAGTCTGAACCCATCTCGACCAACATGGAGATTACCTTAATGACCAAGCCCAGGTGGATGTTGAAGGTGCCCCTATGAAGGTGCCTCTGAGTTAGCAGATCCAGATGTGTTTTTTTGAGGCCTCAGGGCCCGATTCAGGGACCCTGCGCAGACCCGAGTGGAAGTGGAGGTCCGGAAGGTCAAACGGGAATAGATCCATGACTAACTATATTAGAGACTTCAGGAGGATCACGGGGAGGCTGAGGCACTGCCTAGAGCAGCTCTTGACCCAATACTTCTGAGAGGGGCTGAACCGCAACCTGTTTCACCTGTGTCTGGCCCGAGGAATCCCAAACTGGCTTAGTGACTGGTACTAGCTAACCACTGCCGTGGAGTTAGACCTGGCAATGTACAAAGACAGTGGGGGCTCCAGACTGCAACTGAAGAAAAGTCAATAGAGGTGCACTTTAGGGAAAAAAACTGCTAGAAGCAGCGTCCCTGGTTCCTGCAGGACCAGCCCACTGCGCCCCCATCATGTGCTTTCGCTGTGGCCAGGAGAGTGACAGGGCCGTGAAGTGCTCGCCACAGGCCCCTTGGATGGCTCCCATGACACTGACTTCCTTGAAGCCAAAGAAGCCACCAAAGAAGGGAAGGAGAAATCACAACTTAGGTCTCACTCCCCCTGAGAACGAAGCGGATGAAACTTCAACTGAAGAGGGACCACTGATGGTCTTTTGTGGCAACGAGAGTGAGGGAGAGGATGACCTAATTGTGAATGAACCTGTCAACCACCTTGAAGTTAGGGATGACCTCAAGGCATCTCACTCGGGCGAGGGGGATGGTAAAGGCCCTCATAGACTCTGGCTGTTCCTGTTGCCTAATTAGTCAAGCCACAGTGCAGAGGCTAGGACTACATGTGAGAAAACTCAAGAAATCTGTGAAATTCAAACAGGTTGAAGGCATGCTGATAGGAGGCAAGGCCACTTCCCATCTGATGGAGCAGGTGCAGCTAGATGGCAGAGGATATGATCCTGGGCCTGCTTGGTTAGTCAAGTAGGTGCCCCGGATCTATTGGGAGAAAGCCTCAAAGCAAATGATTATGAGAAAGCAGGCCCTGAGCCACCCTGACAAGCGAAAGAAACACTCCGAGAAGGTGGGGGGAGGAAAACTGAGCGTAACAAGGGAGCATCAGAGGGGGGAGGAGCAGAAATCCATCCTGAGGGAGTACTGAGACCTCATGGAGGCATTCAGTGAGAAAGAACACAACGTCCTCCCCCTTACCGCCCCACAGACTGCAGTATTGAGATCCTGCCCGGGGTGAAATTCCCCAAACCCAAGATGTATTCCATGACTATGAAGGAGATGCTGAGGGACTACATTGATAAGAACTTAGAGAGAGGGTTAATTCAGGCAGTGAAATCTCGAATACGGCACCAGTACTCTTTAAAGAAAAGGAAGATGGGTCACTGAGATTGTACGTGGATTTCCGTGGGATTAACAGAGTGTGCATGGAGGATATGTACCCGCTCCCTCTCATGAAGGACATGCTAGGACATTTAGCCAAAGGGAAAGTCTTCATGAAGTTAGACATGAGGGAGGCGTACTAATGAGTGAGGATTAAGGAAGGTGATGAGTGGAAGACAACCTTCAACTGCCCCCTTAGTAGCTACCAAATCAAAGTGATGCGTTTTGGGCTACAAGGGGCCCTGCTGTGTTCATGCAACTCATAAACAAGGTGCTGCATGAGCATCTTTATAAAGGGGTTCTAGTGTACCTTGATATCCTCATTTACACTGAAACCATGGACGAGCATGTGAAGCTTCTGTGACAGGTGCTTAAAAAGCTATTGAACGCTAAGCTATATGCCAAGCTGTCTAAATGTGAGTTTCACAAACCTATATGCCAAGCTATATGCCAAGCTGTCTAAATGTGAGTTTCACAAACCTGGACAACTTGGGTTACTGTGTGTTGTGCAAGGGAATAGAGATGGACCCAGGGAAAGTGAAGTCCATCTTGGAGTGGCAAGCCGCACCCACAAGCAACTGCAAAGTTTCCTGGGGGTTTGCAAATTTTTACAGGCTATTCATCCCCTCTTTCACCAAAATTGCTTTGCCAATCACTGAGTTGTTAAAGACTGGAAAAGGGGAAGGGAGAAGCCCCAGCCGAATCAGCCCTTGAACTGGATGATGGAATGCCAAGCAACATTCAAAAGATTGAAGGGGCTATTTGCCACGAAACCAGTGCTAAAATACATCCCAGGAGGGAAATACATCCTGGCTGATGCTCTATCCCGCATGCCACAATACAAAAGCACCCAGCAGGAGATGATAAGTTCTGTTGTTCCTGATAGCCAGTAAGCAGTGCAAGCAACAACCAGATGGCAGGAAAAAAAGAGAAGGTCACCCCCGCACCAATGCATTTGCACAACAGCTGAAGCAAGAGCTGTAAACCAATGCATGGTTTGTGGCTCACCAGAAAGAGTTGACCATGAGGGAGGGATAGACCTATTTTCCAAACAGGCCCATTCCATCGCCTGTACTGGCCTCCCCTTAGCCCAGAAACTAGTGAAGATGTTTTTGCAACACATCTATTGACTGCATTTCAGATCGTGGGGTGCTGTTGACTGCTACTGGAGGGAGTGTGTGAGAATGATTGGGTCCTTCCAGGGGTTCAGTTCTGCTTTTCATCCAAGTACGAATGGATCTGCAGAATGAGCTAACGCCATAGTGGAGCAGTACCTGTGCTGCTATGCTAACTACCAACAAACAAACTGTACAGAGTTATTGCCATTTGCAGAGATGGCGTATAACAATGCAGTGTACAGCAGTATTGGTTTCACTCCATTTAAGTTAGCCACAGGGGTGGAATTTGTGCCAATACCAGACTGCACTTAGGAGCCTTCCTCCTTGAGCACCCTAAGCGGTTGGGTGGGTTCGTTCGAGTGGATCTGGGGCAATGCGAAGAAGGCTTAAGCTAAGGCAGCTGAAAGTCAGAAAAAACAAGGAGATAAGAAACGAGCTCCCCAGGAGACGTTCCATGTAGGGGATAAAGTGTATCTGTCTACAAAATATCTTAAGCTAATACAGAGTTGGAAGAAGTTGGGACCGAAGTACATAGGTCCTTTCCCCATAGTAAAACCCGGTGACAGTAGAGCTGAGACTACCAAGGTTATTGGGTAAAGTGCACCCAGTATTCCTTCAGTATATACTGAAGCCATACAAGGAATCCACATTGAGACCAATAGGGACGGTGGCCCCTGCCCCAATAGTGGTAGAAGGTGAAACACATTATGAAGTTAAGCGAATTGTCGATTCCAGAATCCATAAGGGGAAGTTGCAGTACTTAATCCAATGGGAGGGTTACCTGATGTCAGAATCTAGATGGGTAAAAGCTCGGCATGTAGAAGCGGATCATTTGCTAAAACAATTCCATACAAAATACCTCCAGAAATCGGTACAAGGGAAGGATTAGCAAGCATTGTTTTGTTTTTTTGTTTTCCAGGTTCCCTTTCCTTCCTGGGGGGGGGCAACCTGTCAAGCTATGAAACCTACTGTCTTTAGGAGCTCTGTATACTTCTAGCTTGCCAACAGTGCAAGAGGGAATAAGGGGAGAGTTTTGAATCCCCACAAGTGTTCCTTATCAACATAAGAGCCGAAGCTGTTGAAGAGTTGTTTTGGCGAACTAAAGTTTCTTCTAATAATAATTACTAGAAGATATATAAACAATGTGACCTGAACTGTCAGAGAGGGGAGGGAAAATACAAAGTGCTAATATATACTGTATGTAGGTCCTAATAAGGCAGGACCTCCCATACATTATTATTATACACAAAAGTGTGAAATCACAATTACTAGTTCTTCAGCTGGTGTTGGCCTTAATTCTTTCTAAAAACCTAGGATGTCTTAATGTATCAGCATAATATGTTTGTGGTTCTTTTATAATTGAGGTGGAAATTTTGTCAATGTACAGATTTTCTAAGTGCTATCCAAGATATTTTGATATGGCACCTGGTGTGCTGATAACCACTGGGACCAGCATAACCAATTTATACTATAATCATTCCACTTAGATTTTTTTTTTAAACACAGTTGTATAGCAGTCACATGTAAAGGTTTTTGTGTCTCTTATTCTTCCCCCTAATTTGGATCTTTTAATGCATCCCCTTCAAATAAACATATTCTTGGTTTTGAACCTAATTTTAGAACACAATTATTGAGAAATAATGGATAGTCTTGCTTTTTTTAAAAATTGGACCATTTTTCCTACTTTAAATAAGTTTGGGGGTAGATCTATGTTATATATGTAATTTGTCATCACATCTGAATTACAATGCATCTTAAATAATTTTCTCAAATTCTACTCCCCCCCCCTTCTTATTATTTTGTTTGGTAATAGATCCTCTTTTGTGGCATGGAAATATCCAGCGCAGAGCCATTCAGTGACTGACATGGGTTACTTCAGCTTTTTGTTTTCAACTCTTACAGGTAATTGCTACAGATTACTTTCATCTTAATGTTGCTGGAGTATTTGGAAGACAAATTTTGCATAAAATATATTTACTTTCACTTGTTGACCTCGCTTGAATTTAGTTATCTGTTCTATGTTTTCTGTTGCATTCTATTTCCATTAATCCAGATGATAAACATATTCTTTATTGTTCCAAATGTGCAGCCATATTTGAAGTACTGGTCAGTTTCAGAATAAAGAGCAGTAAAATTAAAACGTTAGAAGTTGCTGAAACTCCCCGTATAATTGCTATAAACATGGCTTGCTGGAAATAGAAATAAGAAATAAGGCTAGGCAGGCCTTTAAACTGTTTTTAGCAACTTATGTTATTCAAAGAGAAATTCAGTGATTAGTAAAATATTTCTGCAGATCTGAACTTCATAATCAATCATAGTCATTATTCTCCAGAATTTTACCAGAATTTGATTCAGTCTTGATTCTTTTTTATATGACAGCATTCCTTACAGGTGGTCCTTGCTTAATGACCACTCGCTCAACGTCTGTTCAAATTTGCAAATGGCATTGAAGAAATGGTACTTCTGCTATTTATAGTGTCCCTAGGATCATGTGATCTAGTCCTAAAATTAGATTAAAAGGATCAAGCTAATTAAATAAACACACTTATTCATTTATTTATGGAGCAAAATGATCCAAAGTTACAAATTTACATTTCAAATTTATTTACTAGGGTCTTTGAGAAGCCTTTCCAAAGCTACATATTTGTATGCAGCAAAAGTATGCTATGTTTGCTTTCGGTAACCAGTGTGTTCCCGTTGGACAACAATAATTGCTGCCATTCTAAAACATTAACTTTCTTATACTTTAATCATTATTTGGTTGTACAGTGTGTATTTTGGCTTATTGTCTTGCTGTATGACCCACTTACTTTTGGGCTTTAGTTCACAAACAGCTATTTGGAAATAGTTCTGTAAATGCTTCCAGCCTGTGAGTTTCAAGATTCTAGAAATCTGTGCTTCAGCCAATAAGATCAGAATTTGATAGCAAAATTCTGTTCTTTAAATAAGGCAAGACCTCCCTTACTCACACCCAATTCCCATCTCAATGGTTGAAACACCTGGCACTAATTTTCTTTTCAAATGAACGGATAATCCTAGAGGTTTGCATCCTTTTGCCACACAGAAATATGTAGCTTTGGATCATTTTCTCAATTAAAAAAATGAACCAATTTTATTTTTCTCATTTGTTTAATTGGGTTTTCTATATGCTTGGAGGGAAGCATGCAGTGAAGTCTCTCAAGGTTCTGACTTTGGCCCAGTGCTCTTCAACATCTTCATAAATGATTAGGATGAGGGCATTAAGTAGGCATTTATCAAACTTGCATATAACACCAAGCTGAAGGATCTTGACAGACTGAGTATCAGACCCTATCCAACAAGATGCAGTTCAGTGGTGAGAAAAATAATCTCCGCCTAGATTCAGGATAAATCAAATACATAATAGGCAGTACCTGGCTCAACAGTAGTACTTGTAAGAAGGATCTAATAGATATTCTAGTAGACCACTGCTTAAGTATGAGTCAGCAATGTGCCACAACTGCCAAAAGAGCCAATGCTGCATTAACACAGGGATTGCATCAAGATAACGAGAAGTCATAGTACCGCTTTATACTGCTCTGGTAAGACCATACTTGGAATACTGCATCCACAATATAGAAAAGATGCTGAGGGCCTTAGAAAGGGTGCAGAGAAGAGTAACAAAGATGGTAAGGGGTTTGGAGACTAAAAGTGTATGAAGAAGGAAACTAGGTATGTTTAGCCTAATGAAGAGATGTAAGTACTAGAAGGTGACATGATAGTTATCTTCTAATACCTGAAGGATTGTCACAAGGAAGAAAGGGTCTGTTTATTCTCATAGTACCTAAGGGCAGGACAAGAAGTAAGGGATGGAAGATTATCAAAGAAAGACTCAGCCTAGAATTAAGGAGGAATTTTTTGAGAGTGAGAACAGTTAAATCGGTTGAATAGCTTGCCTCTTGAAGTTGTGGGTGCTCCATCACCTTTCAAGAAAAGATTGGACAACCATTTGATCTGAATGGTATAAGAACTCCTGCCTTGGGCAGGAGATTGGACTAGGAAACCTCAAAGGTCCCTTCCAGCCCTATGATCCTATGATTTTTGATTTAGGAGTAAAGAATAGATCATGTTTTAGGCTATATTTATGGAGAAAGATTGAAAGGGTTCACAAACCTTTAAATAACACTGTAATCATTTATTAAATGAAGTGAAACGTTGAATGTTGAGTTTCTATTTTGTTTATAAGAACCATAGAGAAAAGTAATAGCTATTCACTTTGAAATGTGCTCCTAATAGGATTCTTTATCATCCTTTTCAGGTTTTTCCAGTGAAGAATTGAGTAACCTTCAGAACATTAGGGGGAAACCACACATAAACCAAACACTGCTCTCTCCTGTCCAACTCTATTTAACAGATTTGGAGCAATTTTCATATCATTGGACTATGGCAGAGGTAAAATTTTCTACACTGAAAAGAATCTTCCTGATTTTGCATTTATCCTAAAATGAGGTTTTTATGCACTTACTGTTGGTGAGAAATTGATCTTGTAAGGACCTGCCTCAGTCCCTCTTTTCAAGAAAGCAGAACTCCTGGAACAGCTTTATTCCAAAAGGAACTTTTATTAGGAGAAGTTGACAGCAGGCATAAAAGGCAGGATCAGAGAGTTTCCCATGAGAATCAATAGGTTAAAAGAGTAACTGGTAAACCCCATCCCAATAGTCAGTCTGGCCAGTTCAAACAGCCCAATCCCCAGGTATGAATCCACTGTGGGAACGGGGTTGATAAGGCGCCGTTCCCAAGACTTTTAGATTGTTAGGTCTTCACGCCTCTTCTTCCGCAGCAAGAGATAAGGCAGATGGCCAGAGGCACATTCCATTCTCACCCCAAGCCGGCATCAAGGAAAATAGATCAAAGAGCAAGCAGAGAAAGTTAAGCAGAGAGGATACATTGTAGCGCCCATAGCTCCCTTCTCCCCCCAGGGTTATGGCAGAACCCACAAGAAGAAAGAAATCAACCCCCATCCAACAACCGGGTTCTGACAGATCTGTTTGATGAAAGTGAAATGTAAGATGTAAATATAAAAATATAAAATATTAATATTTTTATCTTAATATTTTATATTTATATATTTATATAACATATATTTTAAGCCACTCAGAGTGCCTTGCGGTGAGATGGGTGGCAAACAAATTTAATAATAATAATAAGAGGCTAATTCTGGGTGCAGAAGACCAAGCCTTAAGAACAAATGCATACAAAGCCAGAACTGAGAAAACATCAAATGTCACCTCTGCAAAGAAGCTGAAGAAACGGGACCACCTGGTTAGCTGTTGCAAGAAGCTCACAAAAAGACTGAGTACCAAAAATGGTATGACAAAGTAGCAACAATGGTGCATTGGAAGATCTGCAAGAAATACTATTTGCCTACAAGCAAGAACTGGTGGGACCAAAAAATAGAGAATGTCATAGAAAATGAAGAAGCTAAAATGCTCTGGTATTTTAGAATTAATACAAACAGGCATCTTCCACATAACACGCCAGACTTAGCAATTGTTGATAAGAAAGACAAAAAAGTCTGAATAGTGGATGTCACGTGGCAGTACCTGGAGACAGCAGAATAGAAGAGAAGGAACTGGAGATGATAACAAAATACAAAGACCAGCAAATAGAAGTAGAACAAAAGAAATCAAAGATAGTACCAATTGTAATAGTCACCTTGGGTGCAATCTGAAAACAACTGGAGCACCATTTGAACACCATTGACATTGATAAATTCACGATAAGTCAGTTGCAAAAGGCTGCTTTGCTTGGAACAGCTTACATTCTGCAACCAACCATTAAGACTATCAAATATCTACATCTATGTATCCCAGGTTGTTGGGAAGAACTCGATTGGTAGATAAATTATCAAATCCAGACTGAACATCTGGCTGACTGTGCAATGAACCAAACAACAGTAATTATATAAAATATAAAAGGAAAAAGGAATGACATAGTACTATGCTAATAGGTTTTTACCATTTTGTTAATCAGTTAGCTAAGATGTGCAGAATGTACATTACTATGGGACTTTAATTACCCTGACATTAATCTGGAAGATAAACTCTGTGCGGAATGGAATGTCAAACAAGTTCCTAAAGAACCTAGCAGACAACCTAGTCATTCAAAAGGTAGAGGAGTAGAGGAAGGAACCAGAGGGTCAGGTGTACTGGACTTAATTCTTTCTAATAGGGATAAAATGATAGAAGGGGTTGAACTGGCAGGAATTTGGGAAGAGAGTGATTATATTGGAATTCAACATAATGCAGGGACAAGTAATCGAAAAAAGTCAAGAAGGCTAACTTCAACAAACTTAGAACTTAGGAAGGATTCCATGGATAGAGCTCTTGAAAGGGAAAACAACTCAAGTCACTTGGGACTCTCTGAAAACTGAGATTATAAAACTTTAGTCTAAAACAGCACCATTGAGGGGACAAAATAAGACACCTCAGATGAAACCAGCATGATTTTAATAATTCTCTGATAAACTGAGAGATACAGTAAAAGGGGAAAATGTAAAAAATTGTAATAGAGACACAACTAAAACAGAATACTGTAAATAGCCCAAATCTGCAAGGATGAAGTCAGGAAAACTAAGCCTCAGAGTAATTAAAACTAGCAACAAATGCCAATAATAATAATAATAATAATAATAATAATAATAATAATAATAATAATAATAATAATAATAGCATGTAAAAAAGAAGGAAATGATTGGTCCATTAATGGGAGAGGACAACAAAATAGTAATGGCTAGCAGGGAGGAAGCTGAACTGCTTAATTCATTCTTTATGCAAAAATAGTCAAATCTATCAAAAGCAGTACAGCAGAAGACAGAAGAGGAATACAAGTCAAATGGGCAAGAAAATGGTAACTGAATCATATCTTTCAAAGCTCCCGGAGCAATGGAAAACTACCAGAGGACTGGAAAAATGCGGATGTGTTTCCTATCTTCAAAAGGGGCTATGCACAGGAGATGCCCTCACAATCTGAGAGATTTGGAGTGCTTTTGCAAGGAAGATTCCCAAGGAAGATGTGCCCTGCTGAGAAGTTCCTATCCCAAAGGGCTGAACACTGTCATAAAGTCAAAAGGTGCTTCAACAAAGTATTAGTTTAAGGGTGTGCACACTTATTCAATCACATTATTGTAAGTTTTTTACTCCCCCCCCCAATTATTTCAGTTTGTTTTTCTATTGAATTGTACAGCTAATATGTTATATTAAAAGTGGAAAGAATTCTGAAGTGATTGATCTTGGTCTGATTTTTTTTTACATCTCAGAAACCTGGCATTTTAGGAGTGTGTAGACTTTTTATATCCACTGTAGTTACATGTAGTCTTTGACTAAAGCGACCTTTTGAAATTACAACAGCTTTGGAATAGTTGCCTGAAGTCCTGTAAAGCAACTCTGCCTGTTGTAATTGGTTGTTGCCCCCCTGCCCCCCCCAAGGTCATATGATCACATGTCAAGCAGGTCAGCTTTATGACCAGATGTTGTGTTTCATGGTTACCATAATTTGATTTTTCTTTTTGCTGGTTTCCATCAATAAATATCTAATTCTGCTGACTGCCAGCAGTTTGATTCTCACCGGCTCAAGGTTGACTAAGCCTTCCATCCTTCCTAGGTCTGTAAAATGTGGACCCAGATTGTTGGGGGCAATATGCTGACTGTGTAACAGCTTAGAGAGGGCTGTAAAGCACTGTGAAGCAGTATATAAGTCTAAGTGCTATTGCTTTAGCTAACTATTCAAATAAATGGGCTTGCTTAATAATTGCTCTTTTAAAGACTGCCACATTTTACTTAATGAAAAAGGGCATAAATTACTGGTCATGTGGGTGTTTCATCTTACAATCCTAACAATTTATGGTTGCATTTCCAGTCCCAGTTACAATCATAAATTGTACATACAAAATGATTGGGATGCTGATTTACTAAAGGCAGTGATTTTTTATTTGTAATTTTTAAATCTTTACCCTCTACATACCTAAGATGATTGTTCTCTTTCCATCTTATTCGAATTTAATTTCCTATTAAATTAGACTTGTTGTCAAGTTAGTTATCTAGCAAAGAAAGACTCCTGGCCCATTGTTTTTGCCAAGAGTATACTTTACTGAAGCTTAAGTGATTATAGAAGTAGTGAAGCTGAATCTGAGGTTTTCCTGCACAAACAATAGAAAAATTTTCCTCTCCAACCCCTGCCAGCCATCACCCTGTTATCAATAAATGTCCAATTAGGTGCTTGTATATTGTTTAGGAAACAGGTTTTCGGTTCCCAGCTCTTCATTCCGATGGTTCTCCTTTGCTGGCTGAAGCTTCTCACAATTCAACTGGCTCAGTTGGGCTTCTATCCCCCCCCACTTCCTCCCTACATTCCAATCTTTCCTTCCCCCATTGCTAATGTCAGCCTGTCAGGTCATGAAACTTGGATAGGAAAGAGGCAACCATGATACTTTTCATTCTCTGTCTATACTATCTACTTCTTTCCTTGCTTCAAAACAAGATCTTCACTTCATCTTACATAGTAAACAGTGACTAGTCCTTAGGTCAATTCATCCTTTCTGTTCTCACTTCTCCTTGATTATCTCATTAACATATCTCATTATCGCTTTACAGCTCAATTCTTAGACTTTTATTACCTTTACTAATTCTCTCTCTTGGTTAGTGCTGGTTAATGCTATCTGAGCTTTCCTAATATATTTATAAATCTCAGCTATCTGTATCTGTTATTCGTGTATATACAGTTAACAGACGCTATGAGCAATTTGTAAACTTACTAGATTTTGGATCAGGGATTATTTTTTTCTTTAGCAGCAAGCTTCCAACAGAAATGCTCCCCTAATTGTAATGAGGTTAGTTGAAGGCTTTATTAAGTTTTTACTGATTGTTGCTACTTTAAAAGCTTCTTCTGGGGAAGTCAAAGAGAAGGACCTGGGTTGGAAAACTCCTTAAGAGTCCATAAAATCAGCTGATGAACTTCCATTTCATGACATAGCTTCATAATCCAGATGATTCTCCAGCATGATGAGTGGAGAATCCACCAATGGGTTTTGCTTGTCTTCTGCCCGTAGAGTAAGTCAGCCAATTTTGCTCCGCCGCCTCCTCCTCCCCTTCCCAGTCTCGACTTAGTCTTAGCCCTATCAGACAGATTTTCCTTGGCTCCTGAATCGAATATTGGATCAGATTGTATGTTCCTTTACTTTAATTCGAGGGGGGGGGGTTTGCAAGAAAACGAACGGCTGTTCGTTTTTTGTTGTCTTTGCCGGCCGATCGCAGCACAGCCACGAGGCTTGCTAAAGTCCAACCAATCGCCGGACAGAACAAAGAGCCGGGCGCCATTTTCTGGTCACCAAGTGTGCCCCAGGGCGAAGGGAAAGGTTTCCTTCCTCCCTTCCCAAATCACCCCCCCACAGAGAT